TGATGTTTTACACAATTGAGGTTCCATTATGCAAGAAGGGGCATGGGGTGCTGTTTTCCTTTCCTAGCACATGCAATTTAAAAAAAAAATATTTATGTTGTGTGCATGGAGGGTGGAGGAGACAGTGGGCATGTGTGCGCACATGTGTGTATGTGCATAACATCAGAGACTGAGCTCAGGGCCTTTCTCATGTAAGGTAAGCACTCTACTACCCAGACACAACCCTAGTAATTTTATTTTAGCAATAAAAAGAGACAAAAACACTGGCTTTTAATAAATGCTATGGTCTGGACTCCTGGTTGTCAAAAAGGGGAACAATATTAAAATGAAAATTTTAAAGGTTTTAAGAAAAATATCAAGAAAGACACTATATTTCTTCACATTTATCACTCTGCTTCCTATACCAATCTTATTGTTGGTTGAAATGATCTATTTTTGGCATCATGTCAACATTTATTGTCAGACTTTTGATCATTTCCAAATTCTGAGTTTTGGATTAAGGATTTTCAACACATAATAAAAATTCGAAAGTGTTTCTTATTCTACAATTTCTGTAAGAGTTTAAATAGAATTGGTCTAGATTATTAATTGGAGATGCTTTTGTGTTCTTATACATGACTATTTTGCTTTAAATTTTATTCACTGCATATAATTTTTTTGGTGGATCATGGGATTGAACTCAGGCCCTTGTGCTTGCCAGGGAAGGGCTTATTTTACTGAATCTTCTCCCTCGCCTGTATTTAAATTTTATTCACTGCATTTATTTTTAATTGTGTCCCTATTTTACCTGTGTTTTCATATTAAATCAGTTTACTGTATCTTATTACATTGTCTGATACTTTTTCTTGGATCCAGAAATTATTTCAAATTGTGTCACTTTGTTCTATGATGCTCTGGATGTTTTTTTACTTGTTTTATTTCACTATAGCCAGAGAATACATTCAACATGATCCATTTTTTTAAATTGTACTTTCTCTGTAGCCTGCAATATAGAACATCTTGCTATATGTCTCTTGAGGACCTAAATGAAACTCTAATGAGCCCAGGTTTGAATAAGACCTTAGATCTAGGTAGTTGAGGATCTGACATGCCCAATATATTTGCCGATTTTCTGTCTAGTTATTTTTTAACAGTTGTGGGAATAATGCCTAGTTTGCCATGTATACTTGTGAGTTTTATCTGTCACTTTTTCTTTTCCATTAATTTTAAATCACATAGCTTGAACATTTTTGAAATTATTTTTATTCTCTCAATCTTTTATTTATGTATTTGGTAAATACATAAATAAATAAAAGCTCGGACTTGTAGTGACCCTCAGCTCGGACTTGTAGTGACCCACCTGTCTCAGCCTGTCTAGCACTGAGATTATAGGCGTGCACCATCACACCTGGTTTTGATGGCCAGTTCAATGCCTGGGGCTGGCACGGCATGTGGTACCAGGGATCCAACCCTGGTGCTTGGGCTTGCCAGGCAGGTGCTAAGACTGCTGAGCTATCTCACCAACCCCAACGTTTTTGTTATTTATCAGTGTGTGTGTGTGTGTGTGTGTGTGTGTGTGTGTGTGCATTATCAATAGATTGGCTTTTCTATTAGTGTGTATGGTGTATGTGAACAAATGGACTTCTTCGTAAACTGGGTAAGCTCAATGGGAACTTATTTACTCACGTTCCTTGAAACTAGAAATGCAAGAAGTACCAACTGTGCCAGGCATAGGAGTACATACCTGTGATCTGAGCCCTCAAAATGCTGAGATGGGAGGATCCTTACAAGCTCGATACAGGGCTGGACTACAAAGTGAGCTCAGGGCCAGCTGAATTTCATAGTGAGATCCTGTCTCAAAAACACAATAAAAGAGAAATACCAATTGAATTGGTTTTGGAGAAGATCTCTTTCCTTGGTAGATTAATACATTCTCCTTGTGCTCTCATACGAATTCTACTATGTGTGTGTCTGTGACTGTGTGTAAGTGTGTGTCAGAATGGATGTATGGTGTCTCTTCCCATTTCATTTTGTTATTATCCAAAGAGAATACAAAATAGTGAAAAACAAGCAAAGATATTAGAAACATTATAGAATGTCACCAAACAAAACAGTAGGAACTCATCAATGGTTGTTGTATTGCATAATGTTGTGTTCAAATTACTTGTTCAGATTATGAGACTTAAGCATGCAAAATTGGTGGGGGAAAAAAGAAAACAAAAACATTTAAAAGAAATTTAAAAGGACAGTAAGAAAAAATTTAAGCATCAATGGCTCTCTTGTGCAGATCAACAGAAATCAGCAGTATAATTATCTAAGACATCCCGCATACATCAGAAATGCATCTCATGCCTCCTTCCCTTTCCATCCTTTTCCTCACCCCAGGTTTTCTTTAACTTTGTGAAGAGTTTTCCCTTTCACAGTATCTATGGTACCTTTCCAATTTATTTACTCCTTCAGCTTCTTACACTAGCGAGGTAATATGAAGTTTACATATGCAGGTCTGATTCATTTCACTTGAGTATGGGTCTAGTTGTATGCACTTACCTATAAAAGCCTTGAGCTTATCTTTCTTTATAGCTAAGTAATATTCCATTGTATAAAAATACCACATTGTTCTGTACTCATTCTTCAGTTGATGGGCATTTGAATTGTTTCCAAGATTTACCGGTGAGTAATTATACTGCTATAAACATAGGTGCACACGTATCACTGAGTACAATGGTTTCAGTTCATTTGGAAAGACATCTGGGAGTGGATTAGCTGCATTGAATGGGACTTCTAATCCCATATTTTAGAGAAGCAGCCCTCCAGCATTTGTTACTGGTTAACTTCTTGATGATAGCCATTGTTTCTGGGGTGAGATGGAATCTTAGTATCATTTTAATTTGCATTTTTAGATGACTGATGATGTTGAACATTTTTTCATATACTTATTTGCCATTTTTATTTATTCCTCAGAAGAGTATGTATGCATCTCAGATGACCATTTGTGGATTGAGTTTGAATTTTGGGGTCTTGATTTTTTTTATTATTATTATTCTTTGTATGTTCTAGATAGAAGTCCTTTGTCTGAGGCAGTCAGCTATAATTTTGTTCAATCTCATGGATTTTCTCTTTACTATGTTGGCGATTTCTTTGGATGTGCAGAAACTTTCCAAAAAGATGAGATCCCAATTGTTGATTCTTTGAAGTATTTCCTGTGCAGTTCAATTTTTGTTTGTGAACTCTCTACCTATTCCTGTATCTTTAGTATTTCTGCCTAAATTTTCCTCCAGAAGGTTAAGTATGTCTGTTTTAATATTTAAATCTTTGATCCATTTTGACTATATGTTAGTGCATGGTGATAGACATGGCTCCAATTTTAGGCTTCAGTGTGTAGAAAGCCAGTTTTTCCAGGAGTTATCAAAGGTCAACTACAACTTCAGACAAATAATGGATATGAACATAGAGTCCACCAACAACAGAACACATTGCTTGCAGCAGCATATGGAACTTTTTCCAACACACACTACATCAAATCTATATATCACACATAAGTAAATACAAAAAATGTTTAAATCAATGTAAAAGAATTAAAAATCATCCCATGCTTAGTATCAAACCATAGCATCAATAAAATCAATAGCAAAATAAACTAAAAAAATGAGCAAAACTGGGAGTTTAAGTGATACATTATGAAATAAGCTAAGGGTCACAGAAGAAAAAAAGGAAGAACTTACTTCTAGAACCAAACACTTTTTCTAATAGTATCTACTCCAATACATGGCATCCCATGAAAGCTGTGTTAACAGGGAAGTACACTGCTGTGAATGCCCACTGGAGAAAAATATTTGTTGATTGCACAGTGATAAGGAGCACTTGCTTCCCCATTTTGTCTGCAGGAGCCAAGTGGGGAGCAAAACCAAATTATCCCACACATAGAAGGATCTGTGGGTACTACAGGGTTTGAAGTCGTAGTTGAACTTTGATAATTTCTTGGCTCTTTTAAATCTATTTTTGGTGTGTCTATTTTTATATCAGTATCCCTCACTATGATTTTGTCCCTGCCTTTGCATTATTTTTCTGTTTCTGTTTTTTTTTTTTCTCTCCTTCTGGTTAGTGCTCACTTAATGTCTTTATTCCACTAGACTTTTGCTGTACTGGAAAGCTCTCTACTATTTGAGCGGACTTCTGATTTCTTACTAATTGCAATTAGTCTTCCGTAAGTGTGCCTTGCATAGTCTAGCCATTTTTAGAACCACTTTCTGTGTTTAATTGTTGTTTTAGGTATTACTATGTAAAGAGTCATCTACACCAGCCTTATATTATAGTTACAACTCCTCTCCTCATACTGATTAGTTTTGTTCCCTATACTTTCAATAGAATACTTTATCTTTTAATTTCTTTTTTTGATACCATTTCCTGGATGTCAGTTATTTTCTACTATGTTCATTCATATTGTGTAGTATTTTGTTTAGCTTACTTAGCATTTTATTACTGTCTCTAGAAGCCTGTCATCTCATTCATTAAATTCAATATCTGTTTAATCATGTCATTTTTGAGCTTGTCTAAGACCTTACAGATCTATTATTTTATGTGTATTGACACAGAACCTACAAATGACCCAAGTAATATAAGAAAAATATTGTAATTCTAAATATGCTAGATGTATAATACACCAAGTTCATGTTCCTTCAAACTAAGGACTGAATTTTAAGGATCAAATGAGGCTAAGAGAAACAAGTGTTTGTTGCGGGAAAGAAAACTTCAGTGTAAGAGAGACAAAAGGTGTCCTGAGTGGGTGGCCAGTGATCAAGCTTCTCAAAGGAAGATTCATAAAGCAAAACCACAGGGTACACATGAAATCACAAGGTATAATGGTTGATGCATTGAGTCAGCTTAAGAATTATAACTGACTCAGCAGTGACTTTGGACTTACTCCCCCCATCATTGCCCATTGAATCAGTTTTGCTGGTGTTAAAAGTTTGGGGATCTGTTTTATTTCTTTGTCTCCTCATGTTTCCATTCTTATTTGTGTAAACTCTGGGCAGTGACAACATCGAAGCCAATGAGGTTTATCTGAAGCACCACTATTGCTGACTGAAAACTTATCCCACTTAGTGTGTGTGTGTGTGTGAATTGCATGTGCACACACTAAAGTTATGGGTTATCATCAAAGGTGTTTATAGCTACTATAGATCTCTTTAGTTCATCTTTTTGTTTTTTCTAGTGTTGTGCTTTATGCATAACTAAAATCCGTCACTTCTCAAGTCTCCATCACCACCATTTTCTGGAAAGAAAATGCAATAATGCTGATATTGCTGATATCATAAAGACAAAAAGTATATTCGAGAACAGTGAAAAGTAGGTAATAGCAAAAACTATTGCACCACAGGCAAAGAAACCAGCAACAATAAGAATCAGAGACAAACTGGAGATTGACACAGAATATTAATCCATAAAAACTGCCACTGTCAAGTTTAAGACTATCCAATGTAACAACCATTGTTACATCATCTTGTTTTATTCTGTATTATTATCATTTTTTCTTTTTAATGTAGTTGGTACAGGGTCTTACTACATAGCATGGACTCATAGTGATCCTCCTGTTTTCAGCCTCCCCAGTGTTGAGATTCCAGGCGTGCACCACCAGGCCCAGTCTCTTGGCGGGCTCAGCATGCCCAATGTCCAGGACTGTGCAGGATGTGGGGCTGGAGATTGAATCCTGATCCCCGTGCTTGCCTAAGCAAGTGCTTAGTTGGCTGAGCTATCTTTCTGGCTCGGAAATTCTGTATAAGTTTTACTGTTTTTTAAATTATTTTTTTAAAAAAGGGAAAAAAGATCTGCAAAATAACATAAGACACAAATGTGAAACAAATATTATCATTCATTAAATTTCTAGAAATAATAATATTTATACCAGAATTTAAATAGAAAACAGCAGCAATAACAGAGTAACAACTATCTGAAAATGAATAAAGCTTCAAAACAGTATTAATAAAAATGAAGAAGGTTTATAAGGGAAAAAGGAAAAGAATTCTTCAAATAGAGAAAAAAAAAAGATGATATGGCAGAGAGAAAGGAGATAAAGGATCTTATTATCACATAAAAACAGAAATTAGAAAAGAAAAAAAATAAAATAAAGAATAAAAGAAAAACGTGCAGAAAGTTGCCCTTAGCTTTTGAATGACTTGCTTCTTTGCAGGGATTACAGTATTATGTTGTATCTGAATGTACCAGATACAAGCCTGACACAGTGAACCAGGACCGAACTCTAGGTCCTGCTGTGCTTCCACAGTCACTCTTGTACAAGTGAAGGCTGAGTCTGCACCAGATTGGTCGAAGGTCCCCCGCTTAACCCCAAGGTGGTGTTCCCTCCATCCACTCCCAGTTGGATGTCTCTGTCGCTCAAAGCTCCCCAAGTCACTGCTTTCTCCATCACAACTTATGAACTCTGGGTTTATGAGGCACCCTTTCCTTTCCCCAGAAGACACTGACTGTAAACTGCAGGCTTGTATCATCCAAACCAATGTGATTCCTGATCATGTTGGCAGATAGGGAAAGTACACAGACCACAGAGCTTTGTCCTGGTGACAGGTAGTGGGCTGGCTCACAAAGATTTTTGGATTGAGTCCAGCACTTACAGATTCTGCCTCCTCTGAAAACAAAATGAGGGGCTCAGCTTCACTCAATGGACAGTGGGACGTCTGTGTCCTTCCCTACTTATGCTTAAAACTTGCAGGCAGGCTATACCTAGCCCACTTCATCTCTGTGCCTAGTTCTCTCTCTCTCTCTCTCTCTCTCTCTCTCTCTCTCTCTCTCTCTCCCTCTCTCTCTCTCTCTAACAGGGATTGAACTCAGGCCCTTGTATTTGCCAGGGAAGCACTTATTCCACTGAACCATCTTCCCTGCCCCTGTACCTATCTCTTGTGGCTGTCCCCATTTCTTGTGCCTATCCCCCACCCAGTCATGGTGGTAGGAAAATCCCAGATGCTCTAAAATATAGTTGTTTTGTGGCTTCTGATCCCTTGAATAGTTCAGTTTTAAGCAATTAATCTCTTCTCAATGTAACTCCTGGTAAATCATCATCAAATGCATTGGGCACTGAAATGAATTTCTTAACAAATTCTAACTCTTCTTTCAGAAGGACTTACCTGTAGAGTAAAACCCCACACTGCTTTTACTGTTTACAGTAACTATGGGCTTTTCTAGGGGTTAAGTCTGCCTGCCTAATCCTTTGTCCCAGGAGTTAGTGACCTTGTGCTTGTGGAGCCAGGTCCCCATCACCAAGAGTTGGGATTAGTGTTCCCTTCTTTTCCCTATTTTCTTAATATTGTCTTGAGAGTCCCCAGTTTCTCCGTTTTCTAGTTTTCCTATTGGCTATTTCTCAACTCCAGTGAATTTCTTTCTTCTTTTTTAAAATTTATTTAGTACAGGGTCTACAGCGTCTCACTATGTAGATCAGACTGGTAGTGATTTTTCTGTTCTCAGCCTCCCAAGTGCTGAGATTGCAGGCATGTACCACCATTCCCAGTCTCAATCCTGTCTCAGCATGCCTTAGGGGCAGAGCTGGCACAACATGCCTGGGACCAAACCCCAGCCACTGTGCTCTGCTTAAGCAGGCATTTTAGTCCACTGAGTCATCTGGCTAGCCCTTTTCTTTCTTCTTGATAAATTGTTGTTTTTGAGGGGCTGAGGAGATAGCTCAATGGCTTAAGCCCCTGTTTGGCAAGCACAAGGTCATGAGTTCAATCCCAGGTCTGAAAGGGGTGGGGGAAAGTTGTTTTTTTCAAGATGTTATAAATCCAGTTTCTTGAAGGACTGTAACATGCATTAAGATTCTACTCCACCAACTTTCTTCTTTACAAGCGCAAGATCAGTGTTTTCCACATGTAACATTTTAGTGGTTTCAATGTACCATACTGCTTCAGTGTACTGGTTTCAATATTCTGGTATGTTCTAATCTCTTTCATCTGAAAGGGATTCACATAAGCTACATTAGCATATCTAAAAGAAAATGACTTTTATATATTTCAATCAATATTTCCTTAATATCATTTCTACAAATTAAAATTTTGATAGATCTTCAAAAGATCAAATATAAGATTATAATCCCTGGTAAAACTGCTTTGAAAAACCACTAAAGACAGTAATGGGTAAATATTGAGCTAGAGGAGGTCTGTGTTCTTCCATGAATGGTGAACACCTTAAAATTGTCTAAATAGTAGGATATGCAACCTGCATGTAGAAATTAACCTTGGCCAGAGCCTGTGGTAGGGCACCCAAAGTGAACCTGCAATAGTGGTTTTGAATGTACTCTGCCCCATAATTCACTTAAGAGGTAGATGAGGGAGGAAGGGAAGAGGATTTCAAATAGAGAACCAGCACCATTAGGTACCTGCATCTACTCCTCAAGATAAATATAATTAGTACGTGTATTGCAGACATGTACTAATAAAAAGAAGACAAAGTTCAAAATTAGTTGGTCTCAAAACATTATGTTTCCTAATGAATGAGTGAACTGTTCTTACCCTGGTCATTTTTTCCTTTCTTTTTTTTTT